TGATGAGTACAGTCAAATTTCAAGAGGCAGAGAAAGTACAGCAGTCTCAAGATGTGTCCAGGGAGGACAAGCTGTCTGTAACTGGCCACTCCCACGTAAGACACTCCCCAAGTCAGTGTTTGTATCACAGGCAAGACCATTTTCTGCATTACGGAAACTCACTTACTGTGTCTGATTTACGTCGGAATGGAAGATTCTAAACAGCAGGCATCACAGCTCTGTTAATTTTATGGCATTTATTGTACTGGCCAATATATTAAGGTGGTTATTAAAAGTAAGATTAAAAAACAGGTACTCCTTTCATCTGTAACTTAGTCACTGAACACAAGATGCACGGTGGCTATGGTAAAGTAACTACAATTCATTATACATGTAACAGTCAATATCTTGGGGTATTTCACAGATCTCTTCTCCAAAAGAAAAAACTGTCAAGTCATATGGTTAGAAAGGAAGGGCTTTCTAAAAAAACTGCAGAAACTCTTTATAGTCTCCTTTGAAATACTGCTAAGTTATGTATTTTTAAGCACTTTTTTCCAGAAAAGGGCATTGGCCCATCTAAGATACTAAATGTCTAGAGTTCTGTAATAAGAACAAGTCATAAAAGGAAGGACAAAAGAGTTGCTAAGAATTCTAAATGTATTTAACATTAGCCTCAGTCTTGGTAAGCAAAACACTAAGGGAACAGGACGACTGTTTAACCATACTGTAATGGATACAAGACAACACACTTCACATGAACTACAGGATAATTTTATGATTTTAAATTATGTTTTTCTTTGAAAAACTGCAATTAATTGAAACAGGAAGTCACCTTAGAGGTCAAAAGTAACTGCATTTAACATATACAACCATTTAAATATCAATTATAAAATAGCACCCTTTTCTCATGAGCAAATAATTCTGAAACAATTGATAAAAACAATAACCAACCCCCACCAACATCCTCATTTCTCTTCAAGAAATAAACAGCCATTGGAACTCACCTAAATTGTCTCTCAAAGCACTAGCTTCATCATGGGTTTTGAAGTTATAATTCGGTACCAACTTAAGTCTCATGCGGGAATAATTTTCTACATTAGCTAGTTTCCAGTGGACTGGATTTTGTTTCCTATGAATATTCATAAGTAAACAAAATTTATTTAGCTTAAAGTTATGAAGATTAGCTTGAAACAATGTAAGAAGTATCAGATCCTTTACACTTTTTAGCACTATTTTATAAAAACATTCATATTCATTATCTCATTTGACCCCAACAACCACAAGAGAAAACCAATGTTAGTATGTACAGCTACAGTTTATACCTGAGGAATCTAACACAGGCTAAGTTATTTGCCTAAGATGCTGTGTGTTTACAGACACCAGAAATAAGATGTGAACATAAATCTTCAGACTTATAATTTGATATATTTTACTCTTTCTTTCACTGTTACAGGGAACTTTTTTAACTACCTATATGAGTTTATTCCAAATCAGTTTTCAAAATAAAATGGTAATTTTATTATAAGTAAAGATAATATAATTGAAAATGGATCAAAGACCTAAATATAAGACTTCAAACTAGTAGAAGAAATAACAGGAGTAAATTTTCATGACCTTGGTTTTGGGAATGTTTCTTGGATATGACACCAGTAATACAAGCAACAACAACAAAAAGAAATAGATAAACCTGACTTTAAAATTCAAAATTTTTATGTACCAAAGACTACGATCAAGCAAGTGAAAAAAACAACCTATATATTTATAAATAATATATCCGATAAGAGTCTATTATTGAGAAAATAAAAAGAACTCTTACAATTCAACCACAAAAAGTCAAACAATCCAATTTAAAAATGGGCAAAGAACTTGAATAGATATTTCTCCAAATAAGATACACAAATGGCCAAAAGTACATGAAAAGATGTTCAATGTCATTAGTGAAATGCAAAAAAATCATAACATACTGTTTCACACCTACTAGGATGAACATAATAAAAAAAATTTTAATGACAAGTAGTGGTAAAGTTGTGAAGAAACTGGAACTCTCAAACATGGCTGATGGGAATGTAAATGGTGTAGCTGCTGTGAAAAACAGTTTGGCAATTCTCAGTAAGTTAATCACAGAATTACCATATGACCCAGCAATTCCACCTGCAGGTATATAACCAAAAGAATGGGAAACAGGCATTGAAACAAGTACTGTTCATAAACGTTTACAGCAATACTATTCACATAGTCACAGGGAAGACAACTCAAATGTCTATCATCTGATGAATGAATAGACAAAATGTGTTATTATCCATACAATGGAATATTATCTGGCCGTAAAAAGGAAAGAAAGTACTGTTACATGCTACAACATAATGAAAACACTATGCTAAGTGAAAGAAAGAAGCTGGACACAAAAGGCCACGTACTGTATGATTTCATTTATATGAAATATTCAGAACAAGCAAATCCATAGAGACAGAAAGCAGATTGGAGGTTGCCAATGGCTGCTTAATGGTCCAGGGTTTCTTTTTCAGGTGATGAAAATGTTCCAAAGCTAGACAGTGGTGATGATTACACAAGTCAGGAATGTACTTAAAGCCACTAAACTGTACACTAAAATGGTGAAAACAATATTATTTTATATTATGTGTATTTTACTACCATAAAAAGAGTTGTTAAATATGTATATATTTACATACATAAATACACACACACACATAATGTAATTTAGCAAAACAGAAGTGACTTAGGATCAAGCATATAAACTGTAAAATGTTCAAACATACAGATAGCATCACTAATCCTAGCTCAGACATCAAGACAGAAGTAAATGGATTCAAAACAAACTCTGTATAGCAGGGTAAAAATAAAGGAAATAGCTGCATGGTGAAAAACATACACACAAAGCTCTAAATATAGAAGGCCTAAAATTCACAAAAGACAAATTAATTAAGGGCAATCTTTTACAAAGTGAACTTTAAAAATACTGGTTCAAGAAGCCATTTGCTCATAAAGTTCTAGATCAGAGTTCTAAAAACAAAAGGGTATTTGATAAATGATACACTCCTACCTTTCAGCCCAAGGCCCCCTTTCACACGTAAGATAGAGCTTTATTGCCTTCCAGCGTCTCAGAGTGGCTAACTGTTGACTGCTAAGTTGTTTAAGCATATTATTATACCTCAAATTCTCTTGGCGTGCTTTTCGATTAAATGGCTCCACAAAAAACTCCTGAAAGAAACAGCAGTAAGTAATAGAGTTGAATCATATATTTACAGGTATACTTAAATTTTAGTGCCACAATTTTAAAAATTTGACCCAATAAAACCATGCAGTGAAAGAAGCTGGTAACCAACAGGATTTTCTTATTCTACTAGAATTATTTCTTTAATACAATTCTAGCTATAATATATTTGTATTTTTTTTAAATACGTGAATAACTTCAAAAATGTAAAGTATCTCAACACAGGATTTTTAAACTCAGAATTATTAACCTCCTACATCAAGTGAAATGATTTTCCTTTGGGATCTTTTGATTAATAAGGCATCTAGAGTAAGATTCAAGTTTAAATAAAGTAAAAGGAAGAGTAACCACATTTCATACTACTATTGATGGACTGAAAGGCAATGTCAAAGACAAAAGAAATCCATAGGGGCTAATGTCTCACAATGAAAACTTCTATCACTTAAGGGGGAGGATACAGCTCAAGTAGTAGAGCACATGCTTAGCATACAGAAGGCCCTGGGTTCAATCCCCAGTACTTCCTCTAAAAATTAATAAGTAAACCTGATTGCCTCCCTCACCAAAAAAAGAAAAAGAAAAGAAAAATTCCATTACTTAGACCGCTACTCTCTGAACAGCATCCTAGGTAGCAACTGAATTAACATGCTTTTTCCAGTTTTCAAGATAAAATATACTTTGATTACAGGTTCTACTGATACGTAACTCTAAGCCCTGAAATTAAAGTTTTAAACTTTTCAGAAAAACAAGTGGTAAGACTGTCTTGTCTAACTCACATTAATATTGATCTATTAGGAACTATTAGGAACTAAAACAGTTTTAACTTGTTTCAAATAAATCAACACTGAATTACATTAAAATAAACAGTTAAAGACATGGATTTCAAAGACACCTTTAAAGAGGCAGTACAACAGTGTGGTGTTAAGAATGTAACTGTTGGAGATAGACCTAGGAACAAGTCTTAGCTACTTAATTCTCTAAGTGTCAGGACCATTATCTGTATGATGATGTTGACAATAATTCTCATCACAAAGATTAAGATCTAAAGTTCTTAATATAGTGCAAGAGAAGTAGCAAGCCCTCAATAAATAAATATTATCACTACTGCTACTGTAATTTTTACTAGATTTGTAGGAAATCAATGATTTGGGATACTGTGTTGCCAAATATTTAAAACAGATCTTTGATGAGAAAACTGAAGAAATCATGAGAGCTCCATGATAATTAAACATCAGTTTCACAGTTTTGACATTTGAGCACACAAGAACATTCTTAAATTAGGTTTTTCTAGAAAAGCTAAGGGTGAAGTTACAGAGAAAATGATGGTTGGAATACTAATTGGTAGAACTTCTGTGAGGGCAATATAACTGTATTTACCGTTAAGTGCTGCATATCAGTAATTCCACTTATTCTAGGGAAGTCATCCTGGATAAGCATAAAAATACAATTGTAGAGATGGGCCTCAAGTTTTTGTTTTTGGAAGGTATTTAACTATAAATTTGATTTCTTTAATATGTAGAGGACTATCCTAAGTTAACTATTTATTTCTGAATTGGTTTTGGATATTTGTATTTGTCAAGAAATTGATCCATTTCATTTGAGTCCTCTTATTTACGTGCACAGATTTGTTTACAGTAGTCCTTTATTATTATGCTGATGTCTGTGGAGTCAGTGGTGATATTCATTTCATTTCTGGTATTAGTAATTTTTCACTTTTTTTTTTCTCAATTTGGCTGGACATTTATCTACTTCATTGATATTTTGAAGAAGCAGATTTTGGTTTCATTGATTTTCTCTATTGTTTTTCTGCTTTCAATTTCACTTCTTTCAGCTTTTAAAAAATTTATTTAGAAACTAATTTAGATTAGTTCAGATTACTTTTTTCAAGTTTCTCAGGGTGGAACAAACTTACTAATTTTAGATTTTCTTCTTTTTTAACACATGCATTTCATGCTATAAATGTCCCTCTAAGCACTGATATATACTCAGCCTCCTTAGAGATATCTACTTTCAGCTTAATAGACTTTTTACATAATCACTATGTGTAAAACATTTTGATATTTATTTTTTAAGTTGTTACTTATCAGTGTTTTTTTCTAATTCTGAAATAATTTTTCATACAAACAATGGGAAATATTGTTTTCAAAGTTCAGACTTGTTATTCATCTCTTTTGAATATTAAATGCATGAAATCAACATGAAAACCTAGGTATTAAAAACATTTAATAATTTTTACCTGAAACTTGAGCTTGCTTTCTCCTCCTTCCCGGTCTCGTTTATGCATATTCACCATTAAGGCTTCATAACAATCTTTCCAATAAAGTGCCATGTGCTGGTGACCATCATAAAATGTATGGGTTTCATATTGCTTCATATAAGGTACAATCTTATAAAAAATTTATATATACAAAATTTAATACATGCTCCTAGAAAAATGGTAATTAGTGCAAAAACCTCACTCAAAAGAGATAAAACTTACATATTTTTCAATGTAAACTTGCCACTCATTTGAACTGCAATATTCTTGAAAATCTTCAAAAAATGAAGAGCTGCCATTGGTAAAAGGTAAAGAAGGCAGGTGCAAGTTCATGAAGAGAAGCTCATAAATTTTGGAAACCAGGGTACGGACAAGGGGAATCAGAAATGAATATATTTCAGTCTGTTCCTTGATTGATTGACTTAGAACATGCTCCAGCTTCCCTAAAATGTAACACGCTTCATCCTGATTTTCAATCACTTTGGTCTGAAGAAGAGTGTTTAGCTTAGCTGATGCCATTGCACAAACCTGGAGGAAAATAGCAAAATAAACCAGATACTAAGTGATAATAGCAAAGTTCTTTGGCTCTTCTTGAAGTTGTTTTTTAAAAGAAATTATACAAGCAACCCTATTTAATTTGGAATATACTGAAAAGTTGACATGCATAATTAATCACCTCAACATCCATTCTACTCCTTCTTACAGTTTGCAAGAACAGGGGGATGATTCCATCTCTAGTTCTAACAATAGGTCCTAAAAGATACAAGCCAAACAGAATATCCAACCCCTTTCAGCAGTGCCTGGTTCAGGCAACTCTTCTTTCAGTCAACTCATGTCATTGTCTTGTCACATGGATTTATTCAGGGATAGCCTAATGAGGGTAAGGTCAGAACTCTTATATAATAACTGATAAGACCTGTGAAAGGGCTCAGGTTTTCCTCATCTCCAAGCTAACAAGTTGGCCTACCATAGTTTCATAGATGCTGGCAGAAGAATGAGATTCCTGGAACAGAGACAAAGATCTATACAGCATTAGCAATAGCCAGAATGTTAGCATTTGCCCTGTTCCCCAAAATGGAATTCCATGGTGAGAGTTGAACAGGACTGGATGATGCCTGCACACATAGTGGCTGCATTATAACAGAGGAACCCCAAGCATAAGGAACCCAAATCTTTCATACTGTGCAGTAAGTGTGCCCAAACTTTTCCTTGGAGGGATTTATTATCTTTATTGTACTGGGCAGTAAACAAACCTGCCTTTTGCTCTGGAGGGAGACATGACCCCTATCTTCCAAAGCTATTCACTATACAGGTATTCTCAAAGAGACAATATAACAAAGTGATCCAGTGTCTTTATTCACAAGAGATGCAGAAACACAAAAGATCCACAAAGAACTGTCTACCACCAATGACTATAGGAAGAAGTATGCTCTTTCTCCACATATGAATAAGGAAGCATGCAGCCTCATTTGCTGTTGGTAGTCATTCTATAACAATAAGGGCAGCCAGCTTAAGACAAGCTGATGATGCATGACAGAGAGAAAGGCTGTGAGAATAACAAATAAAAGGAACTGGAGCCTTGACTGAATCATGCCTTAAACTCATCTTAACTCCAAAGTTTTCAACTATATGAATCTTCTTAGCTAAGTCAGTTTGCATTGATGTTTCTGTTATTTGGAATCAAAAGCGTTCTTATGCATACAGGACAATACATAGGAGAATAAGTCCTTGATCAGAAATCTAATTACGCTTAAAGTTCCTAAGGGAAATACATATTCCTTTGCCTGGGTGGCAAAAACCTGGCATAACTCAGGCAAAGAAATACTCTCTATTACTCTTAAGCTTTGACCTTAGACTCCTTAGACATATAGAAAGGTGATTTAGGTCACAAAAGGGGCCTCCTTTCATCTAGACTAGAGAAAGACGTCACAGCAGGACAAATGATATAAAGTGCCCCCTTCTCCCTTAACCCTATATCCCATTATTGCATCTTGTTACTTTTAAATTAAAACACACATTTTATTTAAGGAACTCTCACCAAAGAGAAAAACACTGAGGGTGACTATGAATGGAACAAAATAGAGTCCTAATATCTAAAATAAGTAACTACCTGGCATACTGCCTGCAAGGGCTTTAACAATCATCAGGCTAATATTAATGAAAAAGGCAAAAAAGTTACCCTCGTTCTATTTCCAGATGGAGGGAAAAAAAATGCTACAATGAACATGTATGTATATAAAGACTGTTTACTACTACTGTATTACCTCAGGATACAGTTTTAGAGTAAAATTACTAGACAAAGAGTATAATAAATTTTTTTAAGTTTTTAGTCCACATATTTTCAAATTGTATTTAAAAGCTGTACAATTCAAACTTCCACTATCCATACATCAGAATGTCTATTTTCTTGTTTAGCTTTTCTACATTTTCTACCTTTTCTACAAGGAACATGTGTTACCTTTATGATTAAGCAAAAAAACCCACTATATTTAAAAAGTTAGTGAAATGAGGAAATGATTTTAAAATAATCATAAGAAAAAAATATAAAATTATCAAAATATATGATGGCTTCAATCATCTGAAAAATTATATACATAGAAAAAATATTAAAACATTGACAGTTGCTTTCTCTTAGGCTACGGGATGATGGACTTTTTCTTTATATTTTTTGTGTATTTTCCAAAATGAGTATGTTTTCTTTTATGATTGGGAAAAAAAAGAATCTATTGAAAAGCATGGCCTTTTTAAAATACAGCAACCTTTTATTTTAACCTCCTCATGTTCTTATCAATATTATAGCAAGTTTATATATATGAGAAACCATCCCCACCCTGACCCCTTCCTCCAAGTTCTTAAAATTCCAGTATCAAAAGAAAATAAAAAGGGGGTAAATAACCATGGGATACATGTCATGACTAATCTAACCCAAATAATCACAAGCATCCAATGTAAATAGAAAGATAACAGACTGCAAACCACATGGAACTTTTTCAACCTTTAAAATTTTTAATTTAAAGTAGAAGTAATAAATATTCCATAGGTCCATATTTTATTTACCTTTATCTCCGAAACCTAACACAATGCTAACGTTTGGTAGGCATTCAGTAAGTGTCTAATGAATGAAAACAATGAGATAAATCATAAAACTGAATTAGTAGATTAGTAAAGTACAGAAAAAGACTTTGACAAGAACAATTTTAAAAATAATTTTCCTAAAAATGCAAGCCCTAAGCTGCTATTTTACATGTGTAAACAGTCCATGCAGGCTGTAGAGCTAAATACAGACGAAGTGAGTAACACCCTCTAACATGAGCCATGTATAAATCCTCTGAAAGGAAACCTTATTTTACACTAAGTCACAAACAGTAGGAAAAAATAATCAATCAGCTGCCTCTCAAGCTTCTTTCCAATTTCACAAAAGTGAAACTAGAGTTAAATCGTGATATTTAAAAATAATTTTAAAAATTAAAATGCTGAAAACACACTGTCATTCAGTTATACAAGTTCCTATGTTGCACGCAAGTAGAGAAAATAATGCAAAAGAACTGACAAACCTGCAAATTACCCCTTCCAATGAATCCTAGAAGCAGCTGGATCTGAATCTGAGAGAGTTTTACCCACACTGGACTCTCAGAATACCAAGCGGCCAGACTGTCCAGGAGCAGCACCATGTCCTCTAAAAGCTAACACAAAGGAAAAATTGAGAAATAAAAAATTCTGTTTTGGAATCCACTGATGATAAGTTTTCCCTAATTGTAATACAAATCATAAATATTTCAAAATTAATTCAATGTTTGGTTGGTAAAAGCCAAAAGAATTATCTTAGTAATAGCTAACAAAATCTGTGACTATTTATCACATCTTATCCACGTTTATTGCATCTGATTAAAATTAATGCTTTGAAGAGAGGGGGTACAAAATTTCCTTCCTTGAATGAAATTCTTCACTATGAAAAAAAAAATTTCAAAGAGATATTACTGCACCTTCTCAGTCCACATGTTTGAATTAACTAGTCCCTCTGACTGCAGGAAGTCCTGTATGATCAGCATGAGTCGGAAAGCATTTTCAGCAGTTACTGGATTAATTTTTGCTTCTCTGTTTTCTGTGACTGCCCATTCTAACATCTTCTGTAGCAAACTAAGTATAAAACAAAGTCCTCTTAAAAACATTTTAAATTTTTAAAAATAGCAGGTCATTAAAAAAAAAAAAAAGCAACAACCCATTTATTTACTAACAGGAGTGTATCTCCAAAGATACACTATCACTGGCAGGTGTCATAAGACATTGTGGATGGAATTTAATAACAAAGAAGCAACTTTTTAATCCTTGGATTATCTACCCTTAATATACCTAATACTAAAAGGCAAAGTAAAGTTAACTGTTTTGACCTGACCTTAAAAAAGCTATGAAAATAATTCACATTCCAGTCTCCATGAGATATTTAAAAGTTTCTTAAAACTGAAATTGGAAACATTAAGGAAGAAAGCCTATGCCTTATAGAGGGTCTAGCCCTGTGGAAAAAGAAGAGAATAATTCTCTTCTAGTGTGCTGTTGTTGCAGTGTTTTATCATATGCAGGGAACTCAAAGCTTTAGAGAAGTGATTTTCATGAAAATAGTACTGCCTTTCTTTAGCACAAAAACACTCAAATTTGGACAAGGTTGTACAACACAATGCACCAGTGCTTCGACACCGCAGAAAAAAATTTTCAAAAGGAATATACAATCACATAAAATCCAAATTATGCAAGACTTAAATCTCCTCACATCAGAGACAGTTTTGGATTTCTCTCTAGATCCCACTAGAATGGCAACAGACAGGGAACGGTACTAAGCAAAAAGCTTCTCCTTTACTCTCTCTCTACCCCCACTGAATACTGAATAAGTGTTCAACAACAAATATTATTTTAGAATCCTGCCCACTCCAAAAGGAGAGGGGATATCACCAACTGAATGCTTACATTAGTTTAATTTCCTCTGATGGTCGAAGTAGCTCACTGGATATTCCTGGTTTAGTTAGTGCCGAAAACACTTGTCCCCGTTCAATCCAAGTATCATCATCGGACTTTTCTAGTCCCTTACACATTACACAGTTTAAAATATTTGTCAGTAACTGAAGAAGCTCCTCCTCACATCTCTATAAAAAAGATACAGTAATATGAAATTATTGGAGGGAGGAGAGGTTAAAAGCACATAATAAGAACCCATCAGGTAATTTGACTGTAATCATTTAATGTTATTTCTAAGGTGTCTGGATGAACCTGGAACTTTATTAGGAAGGCACTAGTGATGCATTACAAGGATAACTAAGACACTGGTTTTGCTCTCAAGATACAGTTGGATAAGTTTCTAATATCTTAGATCATGAGACTTAGAATATGAATATAATATGAAATTGTTAACAATTACACATTTCTAAGGTGAGACATACAAAAGTAAGAACTGCATTTGAACAAATAAGGAATTTTACCTCTTGGCTTTCAAGTAAAGATAAGTCATCACTAAAGCCCACATCATTTGGGACACTACTTTCTTTGTCAGACTGCACAGAAAATGTTTTCATAGACTCTATTGGGGATGGCGTGCTGGGCGGGCTGTCTGGCATCTGACTTCCACTATCACTCAGTTCACATGAATCAATTCCACTGAGATCTAAACTCAAATGTGAAGGGTTTTTATGCCAGAATTCTTCTTGATTCTCTGATTTGAAAGACAATTCTCCCACAGAGTTATCTTCTTGAAATAATGGTGTGTTTGAGTCTAGAGAGTGTCTGTCTTCCAAACTCCACTGATCTGAAGACACATGAGCTGAGGCAAAAGAGTTGATTTTTTCGTCATCTGTCTTTTCATCAAAGTTCCTCTTGATATCTTCCGCTGATACGTTTTTATCATTGTCTTTCATTAAAACAGGCCTACTGTGCTTATGAAGAGTATTTCCATTTTCAAAATTTGGTGTTAAAAAAAGCCTAACTAAAGTGTCTTGCCAACCCACTTGTTGAGATATTTGATGTGCTGCATCTGGCTGGGACTGTAAAATCTGGAAAATCTGCAAAGATTAAGAATACAAAAGTCATCAAAAAGTATACAGTACTTTATATCAAAAATAGTTTCATTTCAATTATTTTAATGACAAAGTAATTCCACAAGAAACTCTGGGAGAATATACTTTCAAAAGATTATGTTCTTAACTGGATTAGAACTATTTGGAGGGCAGACATTTAACTAATCTGCATATTATTCATTGTACACATAGAGTAGGGAAGTACACAAATATCTGCTGAAAGATGAAAAAGGAAAAAAGGTAAAATGATCCTCCACATGTCAACACACTGATGCTGTTGATTTAACTTGGTCAGAGAAAAAATATAAATACAATTAAGGTATATATAAAATGTATTAAAGTTATATCCTCTCAACCAAATGTTTTCCATGAGCCTGCTACATTTGTTTAGCAAATACTGAACATCTACTATGTGCCAGGCACAGTGGCGGCACCAGGGTTAGCGGAGTAAACTGAACACAAAAGACACTTTGATAGAACCTACGTATCCCAAGAATAATGTTTTCCCATCTCATTTTTCCCCAGGTAAAGTTAACAGCTGCTTGGCAAAAACATTTTTCTCTTGAACTCTGTATTGTACCAACAAAACAAAAACTGTACTTTAAGTACAGAAATCTATTTCCAATAAGATGGATGCTGCTATTTAGCTGGAATAAGAAACTGAAATTAAAGAGTAGACACTGATAAGGCAACATGTATAACCTCTAGTATTTCAACTGACTTCACATTTTTTGCATAAGAACAAATTCTCAAATACTATCAGAAGTGCAGTTAAGATCTTTAAGACATTCTAATCATAAAGCCAATAAACTTCTACACAGACGAAAAGAACTTTGGATCCCAGTGTTTAGAGTACCTCTTTCATCAAAAATTCTAACTCCGACAAGTTTCATAGCAAGAAATGAATTATGCTGGTAGTACACTGATACTAATATAGAAAGCAGTGAGTCGTCAGACATAGAAAGCAAACTTATGGTTACCAGTGGGAAGGGGGTGGGGAGGGATAAATCAGGAGTTTGGGATTAGCAGACACAACAGGTAAACAACAAAGTCCTACATGTACATCATATGCAACTATATTCATTATCCTGTAATAAACTATATTGGAAAAGAATCCAAAAAATGTATGTGTGTATGTATATATATACAAATACTGAATAATAAAACATACAATAAATAAACAAATATAAATAAATAAATAATAAATATAAATATGTATATATATATAAAACTGAATCACTTTGCTGTACACCAGAAACTAACATTGTAAATCAATGATACTTCAATAAAAACAGAAAAGAAAAGAATTATACAATGACCATTCACTGTAGCAAGAAAAATGTTCATAATAAGACTAAACAACACACACAAAAAGAAAGCAGTGAGACGCAATGAGTCACAATGGCATGTGAAGTTTCTTTCCTCACTTAATGCTATCAATCAGTGAGCTACCGCTACTCTACCAATTTTAGACATATTAGCCAAGTTTAGCATATTAAACTATGGCTGGCAAAGAAATTTTTCATGATTTCATGACTTCAAAATTTCCATAAAACAAGAATTATTTTACAGCTATTTTATAGACACATCATGGATAAAAAAGCTGTTTCTAATTGTGCACTGGAAGGAAAAGGATCAATCTACATGACCTGCTTCAAGGACAACATGGCAAAATCTATCAAAATGTAAAATGTGAATACTCTTTTTCACAGAGCAATTACATTTCCTGAATTATGCCCAAACAGGTATTACCACAAATAGGTAAAGATATATGTAAAAAAAAGTTCTTAACTGAAGGAAACAACCTAAATGTCCATCAACAGGGAAGCAGATAATACTTTATAGAATAGCTATAGGATAAAAAAAATGTAACCATTTAAGAGAAAGATACATCCAGATTTACTAATGGAAAAGTACTGAGACATAACTAGAGAATAAAATTAAAAAGAAAAACAAGGAAGCAAATTAATTACCAGACTGGTCAGTGGTTACCAGTAAAGGAGAGAGGTTATAATCAGGAAGAAGCATGCAGGATAAGAATACTTAACTTAGTTAAAGGTTAAATGAGTGAACTGAAGGCAAACCATCGTTGGACTACACTTACAAACAAGCTACAGAAAATCTTTTATACGAAGTTCAAAAGATTCAGAAACTCTAAAATATAGTATATGAATTAAAAATGACAATTGAAGATTCTTAATAAACTGTTCCAAGTAATACATTTTTGACTCCAGAAAGGGTGTATTTCCAGGAGCCCATGTATAGCTAAAAAAAGCAAATTTACATGCTGATTTCTTATGATTACATATAGTTAATTCACCTCAAAAAAGGAAACTATAAAATTATGTCATATAACAGATATTAAAATATATTTATCTGATACAAAATAGTCAATCTAAAAGCTATTCACAGCATAACAACACAGCTATTTTTAAAGCATGTATCTTTAAAGTATACTAACCTTTCTGCAGATGACCACCCTGACATTTAAATATGCTCTGTGAGATATATATACCACAGATAACAGATCTTTGAAATTAATAGCAGGATCTATGATGGAAAAAAAAATAGTTAAAATTAAATACTGGAGATAACCAAAGAAAGAACCAGTGGTAAATGCTGAAATAATCATTTCATTTCTTATTTTATTATTTTTTCTGTTGTCAACAACAGATGCCCTTTATTTTCTCCCCAACTTTATTAAGATACAATTGACATGAAACATTATTTAAGATATAAAATATGATAATTTGATATATGTATATATTGCAAAATGATTACCACAATTAAGGCTAGTTAACACACCTATTAGTAACTCACATAGTTGTATTTCTTTTTGTGGTGAGGACATTAAAGGTCTGCTCTTAATAACTTTCAAGTATACAATATACTATTATTAAATATAGTCACCATACTATACCTTAGGTCCCAGGAACTTACTTATCTTACAACTTGAAGTTTGCACCCATTGTACCTTCACCCATTTCCCCCTCTGCTCCGGCTCTGGCAACCATCAATCTACTCTGTTTCTGAATTTTCTTTTTCCCACATATAGTGAGATCACACAGTATCTGTCCTTCTCTGCCTGACTTATTTCACTTAGCAAAAAGCCCTCCAGGCTCTTCCATGTTGTTGCAAATGGCAGGATTTGCTTCTTTTTTTGGTCAATACTCCACTATATACACACAAACACACACACACACACACACACACACACACACACACATGTATATACATATATACACACTACATCATTGTTATCCATTCATCTGCTGATGGACATTTCAGTTGTTTTTATGTGTTGGCTATTGTGAACGATGGTACAACAAACATGGGGGATTCAGATATCTCTCTGAGATATGATTTCATTTCCTTTAGATATATAAGCAGAAGAGGGACTGCTGAATCATATAGTAGTTCTATTTTTAACTTTCTGAAGAACCTCCACACTGTTTCCACAGTGGCTGCACCAATTAACATTCCCACCAACAGCACACAAGGGCTCCCTTTTCTCCACATCCTCACCACCAGCACTTATTATGGCTTGTCTCTTTGATGACAGCCAAACTAACAGGTAGGAGGTGATATCTCATTGTGTTTTTGATTTTCATTTCCATGATAATTAAAGATGTTGAGCACCTCTTCTTCTACCTGTTTGCCATTTGTATATCTCCTTGGAAAAATGTCTAATCAGGTCCTTTCCTCACATTTTTTGCTATTGGATTTTTTGCTATTAAGTGTGATTTTATATGTATTCTGGATATTAACCCCTTATCATTTCTCCCATTCCATAGGCTGCAAACATTTTCTCCTATTCCATAGGCTGCCTTTTCATTTTTTTTTTTCATTGTGCAGAAGCTTTTTGATTTGATTTAGTCCCACTGTTTGACTTTTACTGCTTGTGCTTGTGGTGTCACACGCAAAAACTCATTGCCAAGACGAAGGTCAAGGAGATTTACCTCTGTGTTTTCTTCTGCTACTTTTATAGTTCAATTCTTATATTTAAATCTTTAATTCATTTGAGTTAATTTTTATAGGCGGTGTAAGACAGGGGTCCATTCTCATTCTTTTGCAAGTGGATATTCGGTTTTCCCAACACCATTTACTGAAGAGACTATCTTTCCCCGATTAAGTATTCTTGGATCCAATGTCAAATATTAGTTGACTGTATATGCATAGTTTTATTTCTGGGCTCTCGATTCTGTTCCATTTGTTCATGTGTCTATTTTTATGCATACTGCAGCATACTATTTTGATTACTACAGCTTTGCAGTATAATTTGAAATCAGAGTGTGATACTTTGAGCTATCTTTTTTCTCAAAGAAAGAACTATAATTGTCATGTAAATGCTGAAATAACTGTTTCATTTTAAATAAGAATTGTAAATATGTTCAAATTTTACAAAGACAATAAGTTTAGAATGTTTGACATCTTCCCGAGTAAACCCCAAACAACTGTTCTTTTCTTTTGATTGCCTGAATATATTGTCCATACTGCTTGGATCTTATGCTATTATTTATCTTTTATGTACATGTCTTGTCAATGAGATGATAAATCACTCAAGACCTTTCTGAATTCTTAACATCTGATACAAATTCTAGTTTGTAGTGAGTACTAAGAAAAAACGCTTATAAAAGCAAAACTAGAAACAAAAAAGAATATACGAAATTAGTTTTCATTTTGCTTGTAAGAAAGAAAAATAATATTTTGTACATATTTTCTCTAGTGTCCTTTTCTTCTTACACAGATTAAATTATTTACTAATCACTCAGTCAATAAACATTTACTAAAGGACTACCAAGTAAGGAACAGTGCTAAGTCCTAGGGAGACAAAAACAACAAAGGCACATTTTAAAAAGTATCTAAGGAAAGCCCTGTTGAATCAAGTAACAGGTAATTTTAAAAGCAACCTGAGGAAAAAGAACCTCCAGAAAAAAAAAAATTGAGAGACACCAAATAAAATTACACTACTATAAAGAACTTTTGTTAAATGTATCAGTATTTCTAGCCTTATTCATACCTGTACTTATGACTTGATTGGTGAGGCTTTTAATGAGAGAAGTATTAACAAGTGCTTCATTAAGAAGGAGTCCCAGTCCTGAGTAGCCAACTTCTCTGAGTCTAATACGTTGTTTACTTCGTTCATAAACGTTCGTGCATTTCAACATCTGTTCCATAACCTGATCACAACAGTAATATATTCTTCTTAATACAGACAACTAAAAACAGTTTGTCACTTAGGCTAATATTGAATAAAATATTAGTATAGTTATTTTGGAGCACCATTTTATTCCTCAAGTATATTTTTCAAAAAGGTCAGCACTAATAGGGAGGAACACTCCATATCTTGCTATCATTAAAAAATGAATTTAAAAATAAACTGGATTGAAATGTAACTATATATGAATAATTAATATGTTTAAAACCCTAGTTTATATAAATTTCTTTTCAGGTGAAAAAAAATAATCTAAATTTTCTTTTAATGTGTAAGGTGTAGATGGAAACAAATCCTGCAGCTTGCAAGAAAGGAAGTGTGTTCTGAAAGAGAACAAAGATATTTCTAGATCAATCTACTAATCCACTTATGTAACAGTTGTCAAAATAATTTTCAACAATGAGGAAATACTTTGTGAAGCAATCCATCCATATGCTAAAATGGGAGAACCAATTAGTAACCCCATAACTTCTCAGAGTTTGATCAACATTTTACAAAGTAATAACCCTAATGAAACCCTATATGGAAAGGTAATTTTGGCAAGATAATATCATGAACAACCTCTGCAAGACCATTCTAAAGAAATAACACTTAATCTCCATGAAGGAACCCTGTGTGGGCAGATGCTTTAAAGAGTAGCCTCAGGGGTCACCATAACCAATACTTAAGAGAGATTATGTCGGACTATATTTTTATGCACCTTTGTCTTCCAAAGTTTAGGAATTTCAAACACAAGCAATTCAAACATGACCCCGTAAGTAAACTTCATAATTTAACACTAATGACAGAAGAGGTAACAACTGTCACAAGGCAATCAGGTATAATGAACAGGAGAACAAATCATGAAAAATAATGTACTTGGCAGTAGAAATATGACTGACTTCTCTAATTTTAGTTAACCAAGAAGGTGGAGTGGGTGGCTTCAGCCAAAGTTCAAAGTTTGGAATATCTTGGATAGCTTAATAAAATATGTTCTACATCTTTTGACAAGTTATTAAATTCCCTAAGCTTCTTCATCTGTAAAATGAGGACAATAATAATAATATTCACTTCATAAAGTTGTTGCAAAAACTACATAGACTAATGAAAAGGCTTCAGTGTCTAACAGTGGGTGCTAAATAAGGTTAGTATGATCTGCCACACAGACCCACTGTAACTCAAAAGGGGGATGAGAGGCTGTGTACTGAGGATGGTACAATAAAGTGGATTTTCCACTGAAATTACTGATCAGATTATAATATAATTAGTTTTTAAATACACAAACAATGAAAACATGAGATATATATATATATATATATATATATATATATATATATAAACAAACTGAACAATTTAAAATTAGATAGAAGTAGATATGAAAAAGAATTTACAGGCATAGAATGGATATGTTCCAAAGTAAATCCACATACCCATAAAAGCCCCAAAAAAGACACTTAAGAAATGTTTGTACCTTAAAAATGATTTCTCTTATTCTGTCAGAGTACTTCTGATTTAGGAGCAATGCATAAAGTATGTCAGCATTTCCTGGTTCAAACAGCAGTAAGAAAAGCTGACCTCTAGTTGGGCTGGTCCGTAGGAGACTGAAGAGTATGTCCAAAATTCCAAAAAGCTTTTAAAATTAAGTAACACAAAACAAAACAACCACACTCACATATGGAAGCACAAATACAGTCCAACCACAATAGTCATTTAACTAAATCTTATGTACCCATTAAATGTTCTACCTTAACTGGATCGTCTGGTATCTTCTGAACCAGCCCAGCCTTTTCCCACCCTTATGCTCTTGGCTTATTCTATTTCCTTTTGTATATCCTCTTACCCATATTTACCTGCTGAACCATACCTATCCTGCTTTGCCCATATGAAAAGCTATCTCTTCCATAAAGCCTTTCCTAGTCTCCTCAACATGTAACACTCTCCTCTGAAAGCCTCATAGGACTTTGTATTTCTCTTGTAGATATTATCATTCTTCTTTGTTTCATAATTATTTATAAACCTCTCTTATCTATTCCTGCCTCCATTAGGCTAAAAGTAAGAATGATAATTCATTCAAATTGTATATCTACAATATCTAGTATTAGTCTATGTGCAGTAAGTTTTCAACAAATAATTCGACTAAATTGACCAAGAAAATATCACTGGCAATGAATCATAAGTGACAATACAGCTGTCATGAAATATTATGATTACTCTTTATTCTAAATAATGAGAAATTTTTGAAGTAGTTCAACCTTTTAGGGAAACACCCTAGGTCAACTCATTTACGTAACACCAATTGTGAAGTCATATATTATTAACCACTCAGTACACAACGCATATTTCATGATGGAGGACAAAATATTTGAGTCAACATAAATTAAGGCTGCTTGCTCATATTTGGTGCTGAGAGTGGTAAACTGCAACAGCAAGAAACAACAGTAGATACACCTGGGCTCTAGTCCCAAGTTTATCAGCTGTGTGACTTTTTAAGTCACCTAATCTCTCTGAAGATATATTTCCAAATGTGCACATGGGAAGAGTAATTCCTGGTCTATATATTTTATATCAGTGTTTTTCAAATTCTACTATGCATCAGAATCATCTGGAAGGCTTGATTCAGCCATATATTTGCATTTCTAAAAACTCCCAGGTAAGTGGGTCCATACATTGAGAACCACCTTCTTAAAGGGCAGCTCTGAGTATAATGAATAGTGTATGTAAAAGTACTTAAACATAGAAATACATTTATAATTTACTCTTTATGTAAAATTTTTATGAACCTATGACATATTAAAATTCATGTTAGAAATCTGCCCCATAACTTTGATGATAGTTAAATATACATCATGTGGCCTATGAGCAAGTATTTCCACACATTACTTTACAGCCAATTAAAGTATTTTATTACACTATCATTTATTTTATTAAACTTTCAGTCAGGAGACACTATTTACTTCTTTAACTACCTAATATTATATATGACACTATAAACATTTATATATATATATATATATATATATGTTTGAAAGAAGATGATATAGAAACTAAATTGTTAAAAAGAAATAACATTTATCAAGAGCATAATACCTGTTCTTCTTCATTGACAGCAGCTATGTAACCCATAATACTTTGTATCTCTTCATGGGTTCCACCTTTGCACAGAAAATATTTAATTAGTCCATACAAAGAAGTCCTTATTGTTCGAATATCATCTAGAGACAGCTCACTATATTTACAATCACTCCTGAAAGAGAAAGTAAAAGAAGCATTGAAACTTTCAATTTTTACATTTTTGTACTTTGTATATAAAATAATTCATAGTTTAAAAGAAGATGTTTCCATGTATTATAGTATCTTTGGCTTTTTATTTTTAAGGAAAACAAACCTTTTGAAGTTAGGAGTTGCAATGACAAAGGTATAAAGTGTGAAAAACAGCTTATATTTATTCACCATTATGTGGCAGACACAGTTCTAAAATGCTCTACACATTATTAATTCATTTAATTTTAATCCTCAAAAAACCCACAGAAAGACATACAGTTTTATTATCTCCTTGCCACTAACCAGAAAAACTTTAGCATGAGTAAGTTGTCTATAGCCAGGCAATTAATGAAACATAATATATTCAAACATAATATATGCACATGTGATCCACTGTTCATCATTTTAACCTCCACAACATCCTGGCTCTCTGAAGTTAAAGTTATTAGAATTGTTGGAAAATAAACAATCTAGATGTTCCAATCAAGTAACAGAAACAGTATCAAGTGAGAAGGAATAAGATATCATACCCATAGTAAATCCTAAGTGTATCTAGGAGAAACTGCACACCATACTTCTTTCGGAAAACTCTCCTGCTGTCTTTGATGATGGTGGAAAGATACTGTATGTGACCTAAAATGGAAAGTTCACTGTTAATACATTGGTGGTCATTAAGTTTCTAAAACAACTATGAAATTTTATCCAACAGCCTGCTCTCACCAATTCGAAAGGGAAAATCTCCACGATTCCAAATACGAAAGTCAAAGAGTAAATATTGATACATTTGCTGCAGGAGCTGCATATTTTTCTCTAATGATACCTGTTCAATGAGCAATTGAATTGCCATCAATACATTAACATCCATCAAGGTGCTTGGCACCTGAAATTCAAACAGAAGGGGTTCTGTAAAGTTCAGTTTAAATAGCTGCCATTAAGCCCTAATTTCGAATGATTAGTTTAGAACATCTAATAAACATAAAAATCTTTGTTAGAAAAATATAAACAATTTAAACATTAATTTTTCTGATGGAATTCTAGAACATATTTTCCTAATATCATATTCAAAAATAGTCTTTAAATGATCTAATATCCCAAACACCAAAGTTAACACACAAGGTTCTGTATATCAAAGGTTATACACTGTTATGTAATTTAAAGTATAGAAGGTAAGTAATTCTTGTATAAGGTGATTCAATAGAAGTTTTCAAAAGCTGCTTGTCAAATAAATTATATCCATGAATACAACTTAAGCTATAATGGTATAATTTTAAAAATATGTTTATTTATTGTAAAGAAAAACCTCAGGAGAGGGTATAGCTGAAGTGGTAGAGTGCATGCTTAATACACAGGAGGTCCTGGGTTCAATCACCAGTACCTCCATTTAAAAAAAAAAAACTAATAATAAATAAATAAATAGAGCTAATAACCATCCCCCTCCAAAAAATAAAATAAAAAATAAAATTTTTTAAAAAAGGGAAAAGAAGAAACCTCAACCAGTAACTGGTAATTATAATCAGCCATATCTACATAATGTTAGACCAGCTCACCTTCTGAAGTAAGGCTCCAAGAATGGCAACTCCGTGGGAGTGAATAAGATTGTCCTGGTTAATAGGATGTCTTTGAATAAAGTGTTTCACAATCAAGATAAATGTTGCAATTAAATTTCTCTCTAGTCTTGACTCTGTGGAATTGTGAACATGTCATTAATTATCATAATTTTTCTAATCATTTTTATATCACATGTCCTATATCATAATGCATAATGTAACAAACAAGGAATTTGATTCAGGAATTTGCATCCAAAGGTCACCTGTAGAACCTAAATATCAGAGAAAGCAGCGGTTGCATATTATATACTTATGCACACATATATTTTCTCTACCATGAATTTAACAATGTTGTCAGATTTCTGCTAAGAGTACAACCTAAGGATAGTCAAGAGTATAACCAACATCTTAAGTTTTTTGACCAAAATATTATGAACTTTCTGAACTCCATTAGTAGAATTAGGGAAGGACTGCTTCAACCACAAATAGTTAAATTTCTTCCTAATGGTAGCAAGACATTTTAATCTATTTTTCAATTAATTCTCCAATTTCTCAATGATTATACTGTGTTAATTTCAGCTTAATACCTGATGCCTTTGTGGAGGTCAGTACTACCCAATCTCCTTCTACAGGTGTTATCAATTCAGAAACTGTGCTTTCATTCAATCCTTCAGGAATCTGTCCTTCACTGAAGTGGCTGATTTGTTCCATTAGAGGAAAGAGTACGTTTAATCCACCTATGCAGTTTATGATGTCCTGAAAAAGAAAATTACAATTTTTAATCCTATAAAACATAGGCAATTTTCTCACTTAATATCTTCACAGCATGTAGGAGGCTATAATTTGCTAAACCTTTAGGCAATGTATAGGATAGCCTAAGGTAAAGGAACCTTTGTATGCACATTTGCTTTAAAGAGCAGCCTCAAGGGTCAACATAATCAATACTCAAGAGACAAGGCCAGATGTTTTTAATGCACCTTTGTTTTCCAAAGTTTAAGAATTCCAAAAATGACTACATAAATAGACTTCATAATGTAACACTAATGATATAAGAGGTGACAATTGTCACAAGGCAATTAGGCATAACAAACAGGAGAATAAGTCATGGGGAAAAAAAGATGTATCTACAGTAGAAATAGGACTGACTCCTCTACTTTAAGTTTACAAAAAAGTTGGAGGAAGTGGCTTCAAAGTTCCAAGTGACTATTTTGGATAGCTTAACAAAATATATTCAGGAACCTTAGCCAAGTTACTAATTTCCCTGGCCTCAGTTTCTTCATCTATAAGATGAGGATTATATTAATTTCCATTTTGTAAAGTTGTTACAAGGATTAGGTAAACTAACATATGAAAAGTGCTTATCTGTTTATCCTTCAAACTATCTTGCCTGCAAATATTTTAAATGGAACCTATTATTCACATCAATCTGGTGGTGCTTAAAAGATAAAAGTTTTTTAAAGGATTGGTAAACTTACAGAATATGTTGCCCATCATTTACCATTAACTTACCTTAACATCCCAGTTTACTACTTTGTTTCCTGTCAACCTTCCATGCAAACAATTAGTAGATAAATCAAGACAGATTGAATTTTTGCAGGCCTAAAAATAAAAGAAAAATATGGCAAATAGCTAAGAACAATGAAGACAAAACATAACTTTACTACACATGGACCATTCCACCATAATTTTAAATGGTTATACAGTGGAGTCAATTATATGAGGCCTACAATGTTAAGTTTAGTGTTACTATTCTGATTGTCTTTTAAAAGAATCAGGGACTAGATTCTAAAGCACTCACTCATCCAATGCAAGTCACTGCAGCTTGTCACCTGACAGATAAGCTATAGTAAGAAATTATTATTATTCACTAATCACACGGTTTAAAATTTTTTCTATTCTAAACCAGTATATGCAAATACATTTTTGACTTTTTTAAAATGGAAGTTTTAGGTCCATTAGTACAGAAAATTATTATCACAATATGAAAATCAAATCAGTGGCATAAGACAATATTTTCCCTTACATTACTGATTGACAATTCCACTTACATTCAAATTAAGAGCTTTGCTTGCAAAGCTAGAAATTGTTATTCCTTAACTTCCATAAAGGTTGATAAAACTTCACATTTAACCTGTAAACTTGCAGGTAATGAAATATCTTTGAATCAAATCCCCAGTCTAAAAGAAAATTTAAAAACCTACAAATTCAGCACAGATGATGTGGTTTTTGCTTTTCTCTAAGGCAACTGAGAAAAACTGCTTTAATAAGGTAAATGCAAACTGAGTTTACATTTAGCTCAATGTAAACTATGTTAGTCTCAGAGACGGACATGTCTTTCTCCTGTTACTCAGTTTGGGTCTTGTGTAACTATGACCTGTCTGAACAAAGCAATCTCCTATGGCATGATTGCCACCAGTCTCCTATCTCTCCAATCCAATTCTGACCCTGCAGCTTGAGACCCTTTCCTAAAATGCAAACCTGATCATATCACTTTTCTGCTTAAAATCCTATCCATTGCCTACTACTTACTCTGGCATAAGAAGTGTCTATAATCTGGCCTCCACTTGGCCCTCTAACCTCATTTCCTGCCAACTTATCCTACTTAGTGACCTAGACCCAAACACACGTGGAACCCAGTTTTACAGTCTATGTCTCTGTAGGCACTGCTCGCTGTACATCTCTCCCTCCACCTGCCTTTTAAAACACGAATCAAACCATTTTTTTCTAACACAGTCCATCCTCCTGGAAGAACCACCACTCTTCCTGTATTTTGTACATAATTCCAACACAAAAATTTTGTATAGTGGTTAAGGATATACATTAAGTAGGCTGACCATTCACTAGTATTATGAGGTTAGGCAAGTTACTTACCTGTACTCAGCTTCAGAAAACCAGAGCTTAGAAAAGATACAGAGAATACCATATACCCCTCAGAGCTTTTGTGACGATTAAGTGAAACAGTGTATGTGCAACCTTTAGCATAGTGCTCAATATACTGTAAACACCAATAAATGGTAGCTAAAAAAAACAATGCTTATACAATTACACTGCACTTATTTTTTACACATTTTGTTCACTTTAGATTGTAAGCTTCTTAAAGCCAGATTTTAACTTACTCATCTTTGTATGCTAAAAGTTCAGACAATTCTTGACTGAGAAGACTCTCAAATTTTTAAACAAAACGATGGTTGAATACCTCCTACAAATGACTACAAAGGTGAAAAACTGCTGAGTGCCAAAACATCCTTAAGAATAGCTTTTCCCACACTTTTCAAGTGTATCATTCACCTCCAAGAGGGATATACAGAATGCAGCATTCCCCCAACCTCATTTAACCACAGAAACCTTGTATCATGATATATTGCCATTTTCAAGAAATAGTCCTCCAATAACTGTTTTACTGTGTGTATTTGTCATTGGGTTTCTTGAGGGAAAACAATAGCTAATTTTTAATATTACAGAATTTTTACTCCCAATAGTAAAAATCCAACCTTAATGTTATTAAGATCAAAGTTATTTTGAAAAAGGGATATGCAAAAAAGGCCCAGTTAGCCATCACGTGTCTAGCTATACCACCAAATATATTAGTGAGATTAAGTCCAACTATATCCTACCTACCTATACTGAATAGCTGTAATGAAAGTAAGTATAAGATATAGATAGTCCCTGTTAAGAAATAATTTAAAATCCAGTTTGGTAAACAAATACATGTGTATCTTCGGGGGAAATTATCACAAAAAGCAAGCAAACAAAAAGTAAAGAGACCCAAGGGATATTATAATCAATGCAATGCTCAAATGGACCCTGGATTAAATTTTTTAAAGGCTAAACAAATATTTTTAGGAAAACTGGGAAAATTTGAACATGAGTTGTAAAGGACATGAATTACTGGTAATTTTCTTAGGTAGGTTAATGATTATGTTGAAAAGTTTGGGAGTAAAGTGTCTTGATAGCTATGTCAACCTACTCTTATAAATTATTTGAGAGAAACACATGAAGACCAAGTGAGCAAAGTGTTAATAACCAGTGAATTCTGGTGAGGAGTATACAGGATTTCACCTTACCATTCTTTCAACTTCTCTCTAGGTTTGAAATTAATCAAAATAAAAAGTTAGAGGGAAAGTAACCAATAATAAATTTTATTAGGTTATATATAAACAAATAAATATTCAAAGTAATAAATTCTGACCATGTTCTAGCTGGCTAGACAAGGGGGGAAATTCTATGATGTATAATCTCACACAGCAAAAGCCTCTTCTGGGTCAAAGTAACATTAAATACAATGAAGACAAAACATACTGCTTTTATGCCACTTCTCCCTTTTCCTCCTCCCAGTTTCACCTTTGATCTTCTTCCCCTTAGCCCTTGCTGACCTCAGTTACCTTTACTAGATAAAGGGCTTTCCTTGAAGGAAAAAGGACTGGGCATGGTACACATATAGGTAGTTTGTTTTTTCTCCTTCTGACGTAAACATTTCTTCTTTGTGTTTTCTTGCTAACATCACATTTTAAAAATAAACAAAGAAAATGTTGAGCACAATTCTGTTTCATCTCTCCTTCCAAAAAAGTAGAACACATTTAAATAGTTTCATTTACTGAAATTGATTCATTAGTATAAATTCCCACTACAACTATTCCCATGCATACTACTGGGATGACAAAGGTATATCTGAATCCTAGTTGAGAGCTGTATCTTAATATTTACTGCTTCTCATCTGCCTTTGAAAATTATTAATTTTTAATGGTAACTTAACCCCCTTCTCAATTACCCACTTAAATGACAGAAGAAATAAAAAAGGAATTTTAGTTCATAGTACAGTTACAGCTAGATGGACAGTCCATGCATTTACTCTGACCTTTGCAGTGTAGTGAAGGAGGACGGTACCAGGCAGGTCGGCCATGTCAGACTCCTGAAATTTCCAAGGGCTTAAACAGTTTGGACCTGAAAATTATACACACATACACACACATATTATTGAATATATACGGCCTCCTCAGTTCTGTGTAATCAGAAAATAATTTTAAATCAAGCCGTTTCGAGCTTCTCATATAACACACTACCCAAGTTAAAACACACTACCCAAGATGTACTCTATTTTTATATCATTTTATATCACCTCCAGTTGGTTCTACAACTAGAAAAGTTGGGGCAGTGGGTAGAACAAGTTCTACTACAGAAAGGAAATTTTATATACCATTAAAAAATTAATATAAAATATAGCAAAGTTTATATATTAATTTATCTAATATAAACCAATTCAAATTTGTAAGATAAAATAGTAAAACAACCAATGAAGTAAACAGATATCACAGAAATGGTTAGTAAATAAGTAGGAAAAAAAATCTTCTTTAAAAAAAAAATCAAAGAAATACAAAAACGAATGGAACAGTATTGACCATGACATCATAACGTGCTGTGGTGAATCTGGTATTCTTCTGCTACTGGTAGGCACTGTCAATTGGTATATCCTTTATGAAAACTGATTAGGTAACATGTATTGAGAACCATAAAAATATTCACACACTTTGCATATTTATCCTGGGAACTTATAAGCAAAATATGAAAAATAAATTGGTATAACAGTTCATCATATTTAATATTTAGAAGCTGATATCAATATTAGAATTTACAAAAAACCTAAGTAAATCATGCATTATAAATCCAATGAAACATTATGTAGCCTTTAAAAATAATCATTATGAATACTACATAATAAATAATTATTATTTATAAGAGTAGAATTTTAAGCAGGAAAAACTGTAAGAACAAAATCCAAACTATATAGTTGCTAATGACTATACTAAATGACTTATTATTAGCTTGGAATTTATTTAAAGATCAACTTTAAATACTTTGGTGAGTTTAAATTAATGACAAGTTTCTAATATAAACTTTGAAAGTCTACACAGAGACATTCATCTTCAAACTTCATATAATCTAAAAAAAGACATTTTGACAAATACTAAGCTAATTTTCAGAGTTATGTATATTAACTCTGTATTATATATATTAACTTACAAGCTTAACTCCTAAACATTCCACTAAAATATAGATACAATTTTTAAAAGTTATGATACAATACCAATCAGCATGTATCTTTAAAATTAGAACCAAAACAAAAACAGCTTGTCATTGTATCCAAGGACTCCTAATTCTACTGCCTTCATGAATTCTTCAGATATATTAATATATGAATTATAAAAATGACAAGTTCTGAATAAGACTCATATGATTTTAGAATCAGCTGTGTGATTTCCTACGAAAGCAGACCTATATATTGTTTCATCAATATAATAAAATCTGTCAAAAGTACTGGCAGTATTATAGACTGAATTGTGTTACCCTCCCCCATTTCTGTGTTGAAGGTCTAACTCCCAATGTTACTATATTTGGAGATAGAGCCTTTAAGGGGTAACTAGGGTTAAATGATGTCATAAGAGTTGGGCCTAACTCAATAGGGCCCCTTATAAGAAGAAAAAAAGGCAACAGAGAACTCTTATCTCTGCACACACACAGAGGATAAACTCCATGTGAGGATGCAGCAAGAAGGTAGACACCTACAAGTCAAGAATAGAGGCTTCACTAGAAATCAAGCCTAATGGAAACCTGATCTTGGAATTCTAGCTTCCATAATTGTGAGAAAATAGTGTTTAAGCTATCCAGTCTATGGTATTTTGTTATGGCAGTCCTAACAGACTAATGCAGGCAGTATTATGGACAATATTTGAAATATTTCCCAAAGGTTTGCTTTATGTATGCTTACAAAGAAAGTATAGTGTACTATAATTAATTATAATGTATAATATACTTGAAAGTTGTTAATAGAGTAAATCTTAAATGTTATCAACACACACATTAAAAAATGTTAATTATGTGAGGGAATGGAGGTATTTTTATTATGATAATCATTTTGCAACGTATGTATGTATCAAATTAGCACACTGCATACTTTAAACTTACATGTTGTAAGCCAATATCTCAATAAAGTTAAAGGGAATAAAAGTATGGTGTGCGGCAGGCTTTTTCTTCCCCTTCGGCTTCAATTGAAAAAAAATACAACTTGCCTCTGAACAACATGGATTTGAATTACATGGGTCCACTTATACGTGGAGTTTTTTCACATATAAGTAAATACTATAGTACTACAATATGCAAATGTGGAACCACACATACAAAGGAACCACGTATGTATGGAGTGCTGACTATAAATTATATGTGGAATTTTTGCCTGCATGAAGGGTCACCACCTCTAATCACTCAAGTTGTTCAAGGACCAACTGTGCATTCTCCAGGTCACATATATTCCTCAGAACATGTTTAGGCAACAGAAAAAACGATTTAAGTTTAATTAAACAGTATGATGGAACATGCTCACCTGCTAAATATAATGCCTTCACCTGAGGAGACTGCAGTGCTTCATAGAAGACGATAACAGACCCTAGTTGACCCTCCAGGGATGTGGGACACCCCCACTCACTGTCTTGGGTTCCAGCTGATATCAGTTTGGTAATCAGTTTTGATTTTTCAGTGGTTCCTCCCCAGGAGGCTGATGACAAAATTCCACCAAATGATGTCCGGTGAGGGGTAATGGGAGAAGAAAAAGGTGGATCTGGGATTTGGGATGGTGGAGGAGTGGTGGTTCTCTGCCCAGCTGAACCAATGCAGCATGAAATGAAAGGCTAAAAATTAAGAAATGAACACAATAAATCACACATTTTAATTAAATCTCTATCCTTATATTTAAAATGAAACAGTACATAAAATTAAGCAATACACTGAAAAAGTTTTATTTTTAATGGATCATGATGTGTGCATGTGTATGTACACATAAGACATCATTACAGATGTTATATTCGATCCACAGATTTTAGCTGCATGACTTTCATAACTCACTTTATATCCTTCTGTAAGTTTTGAATTTTTAATGTGTGTATTTAAATTTTTTTTACTTTAGTAAATTCTAAAATAGAGAAAACCACTTTTTTCTCTTAAAATTTATAAACAGAGAATTACACATCAGTATAATAATGCTCATTATAGGTTATCCTGAAGTGATCACTGAGATGAAGAGCAATAAGAATTACTGAATCCTGGAAGGACTTGGGAAATAATCTAATTCATTCCATTATCTTCAGAAAAGGCCTTTTCAAAAATACCTAAAAATTCTCAAAGAACTCTTACACTACTGTTCTTTAAGAATCACCACAGGAAATAAATTTTATTTTATAGCTAACTACAATGTGAAGATTTAAGGTTTCTTTATTATTGTTTCAATTTCAATGAAAAATTCAGTGATGGAAAAGAGTCTATCATAACAGTCTAAATATTTTGTATACTCGGAGAGCTTTATTAAATCATCTTTGCCCTATTCTATTCACATTCTTTGACTTTCCTCTTATGAGTCTTTTTTTCTAAGCCTTTAATTACATTTGTTTCTTCCATGAATTGTTTTTATTACGTTGTCTGACTTCATCTATAATGAAGGCTAACATAATTAAATGTTAACTTACTATACATATTAGTACATAGAAAATACTAATACTTATAGGCATACATTTAGAACAAACAGAACCTTATATATTTAATTAAAAATTTTTTCAAGAGTTCTCAATCAACTAGTCCCATAAAGAGTAGGTTATACGTGCTTACTTCATTCATGGCAGGAAATCTCAGAGGGGCAGAGACCTTCTGCTGTCCATTGTCATAGATATAGACAAGGCTCTGACCAAACGGCCTTTTTCCAGGCATATGAACAATGGTTATGTTGTGCTGGTAAAGTAAAACATAGATTTAAAAGGTAAAGATTATATTAAGTCTTTGGAATGGTAAACGTTTTCAGAGTATTACTATGTAACTAATTTGTGTGAAGAGTAGAACAGAAGATTTAAGCATAATTAAATGCTGATTAAAATGATGTTCTTAAAGTGAGTAACAATTTTCTTCTGTAGTACTATAAAAAACACTTCTGACTATTCTAGAAAATCTATACACAACTGGAACAGAGTATCTTTCCTGCATTTTCCCAAGTCTATGCATAGTCTTTAGAATCAATTCTTCTAATAAGAAGCATTTTATTTTTTTTAAAAAGCAACAGAAATGTATTGTTTTTACAATTTCTGTTCTCATTTTAAATTGAAATTGAAAATCAAATTTGATTCTGGAAAACTTCAAAGAAATCATAACATTTCACTTTAACTTTCTAGCAGAAAAATGATTACTGCTGAATTTACAATTATGGTAAGTTGTATTAAATTCTTTATAGGTAATTTTCAACATGAAAAGAACCTTAACATGAAAGTTTACTGAGTCTCAAAAAGCAGATGACAACACAATGTACATGCACCAACTTGTGTTTTTTAAAGGAAAGAACCAAGAAGTCAAATGTGATGCCCTGAAGCCTTACCCAGAGGGAATCACAGAAACTGTGGTCAGGAAGCATAACTGTTGCATATTCTCTTTTCGTGCACACTGCCACAACCAACATACCTGAATGGGTAATAAAAGCTTCAAAACCCATGCCACTTCCTGTAAAAAAGCTAACAAAAATATATATTACCAGAACTTTTAAAGTCAGTTATACAGTTTCACCATTACTGGAGCACACAAAACAATAACTTCATTGTGAATATCCTTATCAAATACACTGCGCCTTACATTCTATTGTTATACATCATCAGTCCAACCTCGCTTCAGAGATGATTTTTAAATCTTTTTTGGGGCACAGGAGTTTAGTAAACTATAAAAGGTAGCCTTATAAGCAGAATGCCATTAGCAAACCATAGCAAAACTATAAAATTTCAAATCTTCAAAATTCTTTCAAATAAGATTCCGAAAGCATGAATAAAGATCTTAAAAAAATCCTAAGGCATATTAAAAGTTATTAGTTACTGAAGTAACTAAGTTTGGATACACATACGTTTTTTGGTCCTTCATATAAATATAGCATCAACAATGGAACAGAAAAATCACCATTCATTTTCAGATTTACTATTGCTTTTTTCTTCAATCTTACAATAATTTTAAATCTCCAAATTTAAAATCTGTTTCCAAATTAGCTTCAGAACTTAACCGTCAAAACATGTGAGATATACAATTATTATCATGAAAGCAACAAAGCACTCATAATTAAGGTGTGTACACCCCAAGGAGGAAGAGGCTTCAGATAAAACTATTGTACATTTAAAAAGTAGATTCTTAGAAAAGCTTTTTCCTGCTTAAGAATCAGAGCATATACTGCTATGACAGTATTCATTTATATTCCATAACTTGTATCAGTACCTGTACAATTGTTTTCTTTTTCCTCCTTTGTTAGCATTGCCAAGAGTCAACTGATCTTGATCTAAGCAAAACCAAGCACTGAAAGAAAAGGCAGACCCTGGCCATTTCTGTATGGAAGGCACAGAAATTCCTGCCATACTATGTGACAAATTAAAATACTGCAGTGCACTCTCGAGACTTCGTTTTCGGGCCATTGTCAGGATTGCTCGAGTTACATGAGTGGTATACGGGTGAATACAGTCAGATTCATCCACTCTCAACAATCTTAGTAGTTGACGGATTTCTTCTGAGCTCACTGACTGACTCCCCAAGGAACCGTGGAGTGCGATCAAGTTCTCAGCACAAGTCCGATGGAGGGAAGAATGGGAATCAAGGGTTTCAATGATTCGAATTCCCATGTTTGCATTGACACAAGTAGTTCGACTCTGCCTATTAATACAACAAATTCTCTTCAGCCAATCAGAGATGAAGATTTGCAGGTCATGGGATTCTAGCTCTGGAAGCCACTGGATAAGAAGCAAAAGAGGCTGGACATTACTAATGCCCAAAATCCCAACTGAAGTGTGGTCACCCTCTACAGCCTGTAAAGCAACATAAGAGACAAAAGGTTATTTACCATCTTTGATATCAAGATAATGGAACTTCTTTTAATAAAGCTAAAAAAAACTCACCATATTCATAAGTTCTTTAAGTAGTTCCAGTGGTGGCTGACCCAAGGATTTTAATACTTCAAACATATGTGTATAACCAATTCTTTCCTTAAATACTTCCTAGAGAAGGAGAAATCAACGATCAAAGCACATTTTCAAAAACTGAATGTGTTAGAATATTTAAAATGTTAAATAATACCTATTTAAGTTAACTAAAAATATTAAAAGATTGAGTTCAATATTTCTGTTTTCTTAAGTCACGTGTCTTCATCTTAAAATAGATTCCTTACACCTTCTGGAATACAATGCTACAATAACATACCAAAATATAAAACAAATGGAATTAGCAAAAATTGTGTATTATAAAATTATTATTTTACTTGCAGATTCATTTACTTTCTTCACTTGATTTGTTATTAGTACAGTATTACTTGAAATTAAAACAAAAATGGAGAAAAGATGAGATTTTGGGAATAAGAGGAGTCAGCAGCCTAAAAGGACTAGTTTAAATAGTCCTGCCAATTCTGAGTAATGGCCAGAAAAAAGCGGGTATGGTTTTCTCTCTGCTCTTTGTAACTAAATGGTTTGAATTATCCAGAGCATGAAGTTTAATTTAGTAAGCTCTAAGTCACATTATTTTTGATCTAGTGGGTACCCAAAGCCATAACGTAAAATATAAAGACAAGCAAAAAAATTTAGGAACACTAAAGTGCTCCAGGAAGTTAGGCACAAAACATTATATAATCGAAAGATTTAAACAAAACAAGTATGACTGGTTGTCTCTAGGAAGAGGAATTAGTTGACTCTGACTCTTTAATATTTTAAACCATGCAAGGCATTACATAGTAAAAAACAACAACTTATATTCTAAAAAGATTTGGACATCATTTTAGGCTTGAATTTCATAATACATTACAGGCAATCCATTATACTCATAAACCAATTACTTAGAACTTAAGATCATTTTTTCCTTAAGAAATTATTATAAATGGAGATTAGATTCCCACACCATCCTATAATAGTTATAAAAGCCTATTCAGTAGGAATCTAACCACGAGCTATATATAGCAACATTTATAGGGCAATGTTAGTCTCCTAACAAAAACTAATGGGAAGTAAGAAATGCAACTGAAAGCATGGCTTAGGGAACAAGGAATAATTCATTCATTTCTGGCACTAAAAACGTAAGGCATAAAATACATTAGAGGCGGTGGATAAGACAGTAAAATGGTGAAAATAATAATAGACACTTACACTTATTAAGTACTTACCATGTGCCTGCACTATGCTCACCATGTTACACAGATGATTATTAATTAATCTTTAATTAATTAATTAATTAATTAATCATTAATCTTTAAAAGTACTCAGTGGGGAAACTACCAGGACAAAATCAGCATAAGTGGACTACAGGGCATAGTTAGTGGCAGTGAATGAGAAGGGAAAGAAAATCCTAAGAGTTAGTGACTACAAAGAAATGGCCATCTGGAACAAGTCCCAAACTGATAGGGCAATTCACATGTGAAATATGTTCATATTCTAGGCAGTCATGAACTGACCAAATAGTCAAAGAGTGATTATTGTATGAATGAAGAAAAACTGTGATATAAAATTTAATTATTTCAATGCACTAACCAAAGAATGACTTAAAACGATCACTTCAACATTTCAACACCAGTGCTCTCTTCCCATTCGTTGACTGACACTTTAAAGCCCTAAAGCTTACAGTTAGTCATCAGTGTTTTAAATAATCCCAGAGCAGTGCCCAGAAGCATTTGTCTTTTAAATTGTCAGCTAAGTGATTCCAATACTAACGAGATATTTTGTGAACTATTTTGTTTCACACGTGAAACCATATATATTATATACTTCTTTAAGTGGCTTAGGGAATTATATAGCAAAAACTGGTATATCTAAGATAACACTTCAGAGCTTGAGGATATATGTTTTACCTTAGCAGCTGGAGATTTGTTCATTACTGCTGTCAAAGCCTGAATGGTTGATATAGCCAAACAATCCAATTGTCCCTGAAACACCTACCAGCGGGGAAAAAAAAAGCAAGAAATTAACAAATGTATTCAAAATTTGTATTCAGTTAGGAAACCTTTGTTCTGAAAACCTGAAAAAATAATTACTTAGCATGCAGTATATTCCTCTTCCAATGAAATGGGTTTCTGAAACATTACAACCTGTAAGAAAAGTTATATGCTTGACAGAAAATAAGCCATGTGTCAAGAAGGATAAGGCTACATTCACTCATTACATTAAAATGTATTTTGGGAAAGAAAAAACACTAAGCTTAATACATGCTTTTTAAAAGTAATGGACAATCTCAAGAGGAAGGGAGGGAGGTCTATCACTGGAAATTCTCTTATGCTTTAACTATCCTTCAAAACTACACTTGAAACCGCCTAGGTTAAAATTTCATTAGCATGTATAATAAGATGTCTAAAATAGTCTTGTCTACTTAGTTTCCAAATCCTGTTATAAATAAAATGGCATGTGCATACACCAGCTAACCACTTACATGTGAAAACAGTAAGGTACATCTATTTTTACATAACATGAAGAATTTGAGGCAGAACAGAAAATGAAATATGTATCTATACATACTGTCATGTTTTTGAGAAGGCAACCTTTAATGCCAAAAGTTGTAAAAAATAAATACCAGATCTATTTTGTCTATTTTTGTTCAAGCTTCATCATAAAGAAGAAATGTATTAAATTTCAGGGCAGTGCATTCATAACAAACAAAAACAAAATAGCAGATCAACAATATAAAAAAGCTGAATATGAATGTTATATCATCAGCATGATAATATAGCATGAAAGCATAGTGTGAAGACTAGAAAGTTGTAAAAATTACCCATCCCCAAAACCTGCTTTTGGGAATACGTTACTATAACTTGAAGCTTGTCACTCTACAAATAGAATTTTCCTCTCTCCCTCCCACTAAAAATGGTGTGAGTAAACAGGGACTGATTAGATCTTTGTCATATTAAGCTAAGCTCTACACTTTTAAGCAAGTTATTCAAGCTGGCATCTTGGTTTTTGTTGATGTTTATTAAACATAATTATATAAAATAAACATATTACATATGACAAAACTATTATCATATGCATTAAGCATCTGCATACAGAATTTCATGCAAATAAGATCTTTTCTAAACTTTATGCAAGAAGACTATGCATCACAGTACCTACATTAGGAATACTAATTGTAAACCCTTAAGAAGATTTTTATAACATTTTATAAATCTATATAAGAAGACTTTCAAGGAACTAAAATTTATAGAGAAATCTAAAACAGTACTCTGTAGTTGGCATTTCACATACAGAATAGAAAATAATAGACTATCATATCTCTTTTTACACCACAACTCTATTTATATACATGGACATTAACATAATGATAATAAGAGACATCAGTTAAGCTCTCTCACAACATTTTGGGAAAGATAAATAACAAAGCAATTTTTATAGGTAGTTTTTTTCCAAACTAAATTACCTAATATATTGTGAAAAGTAAGATAAATTGTATATTTCTGCCTTATACCCATGTAGAGTTGAATTTTTCGAAAAGAAAAAAGTTAAATTTTATGCTAAATCAAGACTCAAAAGAGTCTGGCATCTTCTTCCCTTCCTCTAAGATTTGGGTTGTCCATTGAATTATAATCATCATTTGTCAACAAGAAGCAAAGAATCAAGAGATTAAAATTGATCATACATATTCACAAAGAAAGCCCTAAGGTCCCAGGATACCACAAGGCTTAGAAAAAGAAGCCCCCCAAAATATGGCATCACCACCAGGTGGACAGCACTGATATTGCTGGGATCCCATTCCTGTACTTTATATTTCCTCACACTGAAAAGAACACACACATACATAGATGGAATACTGCTGATCGTTTATGTCACCCACCAAGATTTCAATATACTTATCTTTTAGATGAAAGCATTTTTACTTTTAATTTTTTAAACAATTTTCAAAAATAATTGATAAAGATTACAAGTAGATAATGTTTGTGTATTTTAAGACACAAGAAGAGAAGTACAGGAATAGGTACTCCCATTGACAGATTTTGGACTTCAGCTGAAACAAGATGCAGTCTTTGTAGATACCTGGTCCTCATTCATTTCTGTCAGTAATTTGTTGGCAAGGTCTTTCTCGTTCTTGTCTGCCACCTTACTGTTAGCATTTAAAAATAGCTGTTAAAAACAGAGACAAGAATAATGGAGAAAGAACATTAAATCATTACCTATAAGCAAAAATGAAGTTTAAATGGATTTCTCTTGAAAATAAATCCAAGAATCCACTCGTGAAGCATACCACCTTTAAACTGACAATCAACAATTCAATTTTTGAATTAAAAATTAACATTAGTTTATACTATATAATTAATTAATTATTTCTCTCTTGGAATTCAAAGCTACTAAAATAAGAAACAAAAGCAATAATTAATTAGGAACAATTAGTTAATATTCCTCAATTCTAAAAGAATAGAAGAGAATGACTCAGAAAAGAAAGAAATTGCTACTGAGACAGACTAAAGATATGGTAGTAAAGAATGTATACTAAGGGTTCTGTAGCCTAGGATGCTTGTGAAATGCTCTTAAAAGTAATTTTTAAAAGGGGTCTTTCTGGAAATACTTCTCAGACTCTTGAATATGCTGATGCATACTCTGACAAGGAAGGTCAGTAAGTAGCATTTCATGTATACATTTTCCAAATTTATCTAACCACACATTTTGTTTAAAATTTTACAACAGTATTCTCCAAAATTATGAAAAGTTGAGCATAATTTATATTAGTTTGTATACGAAAAAGGGGGATTACGATTATCTCTGAGAGATCGCCCTCTTCTGAAAGAAATGACAGAATTAAGTAGTTTGGCTTACATAAATAAAACTCAGCATCCCCAAAGAGCTCAGTCGCAGTCTAGGTAAAGAGAAAGATTAATTCAAATGCGAGTGAAAAGGGAGAGAAAGTTAGATTTATAAAGGGATTTATCAAGAATATCCTAAGAAGGAAGCTCTTCTTAGGAACTATCATTTCAGAAATAAAAAAATAAAAAGCGAGTTAACGTGCTGAAAGAATGCAATATAAAATACCATGAGTAACAGTATGGTAAAACAGGGTATGCAAGAACATAGGTAAAGCCTAACCTAAAAAATAGATCAGTGTATGCAATACAGGCTTTGGAATCAGAACCTGGATTTGAATCTTGGTTTGGCCATTTATTAGCTGTTTAGTTTTAAGAAAAACTACTTAACTTCTCTGAGCTTGTTTTCTCAAACACGAAAAGAGTATCATCTCATGAAATAGGTGTGCAAATTAAATGAAACAAACCATGTTAGGTTATTAGCCTAGTAACCGGCACATAAAGGCTAAATAAACGAAAGCTGGTATTATTACTATCACCAGAGATTTTTAAAATAATAATATTCCATATTATTTACGTTCAAGAACACAGAAATGCTCAAAACTAATGAAAGTAAAAATGAGTACAGTCTTTCCAGAAAGCAATCCAAATCAGAACTCTCTTAAAGTTCTTACTCTTCAAAATCAGTAATCATATTTCTAGAAATCTACTCAAAGAAACACACTCACACCAAGATTTTAGAACAGACATGCTCATTTCAACTTTGTTTACGATAGCAAAAATTTAGAAACCATTAAAATATCAACATAGTAGAATACTTAAATAAATTATGGTACATTAATAGGTTGAAAGAGAAGTCCTCAAATTTTCTGGTCTCAAGAACCAGAAACACTCTTTAAAAATTACTGAGAACGCCAAAGAACTTTTATTTATATGGGTTACATCTGTCACTATTTATCATATAAGAAATTAAAATCAAGACATTTTTAAAAATTTGTTCATTTATTCAAAAAATAATAAATCTAATGCATGTTTACATAAATAACATGTTAATGAAAAATAACTTTATTTTCCAAAATATATCTTAGTGAGGATGAGTGCTTTTACATTTTTTCAAATTCTTTAAATGTCTGACATAAAGGAAGACAAATGAACTCTCGTATCTGATTTTGCATTCAGGCTTTTATAATGTTGTTTTGCTTAAAGTTTATGAAGAAAATCTAGCCTCAAACAGAAATTTTGTTAAGATTAGACTTTGCAGATTCCCTGAAATGATTTTAGAGATCCCATACTTTGAGAATTGCTGGGTTGAAATATTTGCAGTCATTAAAAACAATCTTTTGAAAAATATATGATGGCTATGGGAAGATTCATGGTATAACATGATGAAAAGCAGAATATAAAAATATTCAGTAGTATTCCAATTTTGTAAAGGAAAGTATATCCACATTAAAATACATACACAAATATTGCTATGCATATTTTGCCATGATTTAAGTATTATATACATATGCTTTATAAAAGGATTTTTAAAATATATTATATACTTCTTTTTTCCTCAAAACTTTCTATATTGATTGTGCATTGCTCTAAATTTAAATTAAAATCTATCTTTAAAGAATGAAAAGAAACCTGCTCAAGGTCACTAGGGCAATGTGTATGAATTCTCTAAAATTTATCATATCTATCATAAAAGTTAAAAATATGAGTCCATGGAACTGTGTTTTAAGCATGTTACAGTATGACTGGACTCATTTTGACAAGCCCAGAAGTCTTTACACAAATGCTCAAGGAAATTAATGCATACTGGTTGGTGAATCTTATGCAAACAGAAAGCACAGAAACTGCAGCAATCAGCCTAAAGATTTCTGTGTAATTCATAAACTGTTTATGACACCTTAACCTTTAGTTGACAATGTTTGCAATGGGTCTGAATACTTAAAATGACAATTGTCTTGATTCTGTATTACTTTATAAAAGAATCATTCCTTACTAACAAAAACAATTTAAACAGAAATCAATCAATAGACATATGTGGCATCCTATAACACATTTGGGAACTTAAGTTTTCACAAGATTCCAAACATTTTTATATATTCATAAATGGTATCACCTATCTCCATCAAATATGTTTGCATACACAGTAAATAAAACCCGTAATTCTCCTATATTTAATGCACAGAAAACAGTTTTTTCTACTGACTGAACAGTGACCTTAAGTACCAGTAATACAGTTACAAAACTATGTACAACAATGAAGTTAGGGTCAGAATACCTGGGCAAAGAAATCCTATCTCCATCATATATTAGCGTTAACCCTGAGCTAATTACTTTCAGGACATATTTTCTTATGTGTATACTAAAAGAGCTGGGCAGTTTATTTCAAAGGTTCCCCTTGTTTTTAAAATTTAATGACTCCCATGTTTGGTGAGGAATCTACAGGGATTCTGACTAGAATATTCCACAAATAGAGACCACTGCCAGCAGGGAAGGTTCAGGTCTCAAAGCCTGAATTTCCTCTCTAAAATGTGTTTCTTCTCTAACATTTCCTGTTTCAAAACAAAATGTGATAAATGGTACCAAATAATTAAATTTTAAAATGCTGTGACTGTCAGCAAGTTTCTAGATCTACATTATAAGAAACTTTGGCCTATAACATAGTAGAAAGAGCAAATATTAGGTCACCATCATGACAGCTATGACAGTTTTGTATTTTTAAAAAAGATACTGTTGACCATGGTATGACAGAGATTTTTTAAATTATATCTTGGTTTCACATATTGTAGAAACACATATCAAAAATTTTAGTAGAAACTATTTTATCCTAGTGATTTATCCTTTTATAATGTGTGACTGACAGGTTCTCTACACATGTGAGATCTTGTCTTTAACACTGAAGTCGTCTTTGTAACTAATAAAGCCACACTGCTTTTTTACAACAAACAAAAAGGTTTTATAAATATTTCGCTTATGCTGCTTTCATCTCCCTAGGATTTCTTTCCCAAGAATCATTTTTAAAAGTTGGAGGGAGGCAACGTGATTCTCCAGTGGTAATTTGGTACTTTTTGACTTCATAAATATTTATTACGAGTTACTTTATCAATATATTCTTTACTATTTTATGCTATTCTTTACAATTTTATTGTAAGTTAAACAACAGAGGGACATGAACACTTTGTAGGCTACTTCAAATGCTACTTTCATACTTTTCTTCTAACAGTGTGGAAAAATCCAAGGAGCTAAAATTAAAACTCTTATTCTGTAATATTTCACAGAATCAGAATGAACCCCTAATATTTCTCAACAGGGAATTCATGAAAAGAATACCTCAAATAGAAAGGTAAAAGCTCTGTGAAGTAGCTTTATTTTCAAAGGCTTCTCAGGAAGCTCATAAAAGATTTCTGGTACCATCTTGAAATTTACGGAAACATACAATAATCATAAATATTAGTTATTATGTACTGATATGCAAGCCTGCTACAAGTATAAATTAGCAAAAAATTTAAAAAATAATAAGCAAATTGGAGGTACATATCAAGAACCTTAACAGTATTTCTATTTTTCTACTCTTCTACATTTTCCACTCATTTACAAGTTGTTTTTATATAACATTCCCTAATTTAGAAAGTTTATGCCCTTTGATCTAGCAATTCTACTAGAAATAGAATTGTAAGAAACTTGGAAAAGTATGTAATAGCAAAAAAAACTGGAAATAAATTTAAGTATCTACCAAGAGGGAATAATTGAGTAGGTTACTGTACATCACTTAATATAATAATATGTAAAATCAAAACACATGAAAATGCTAATGAAATAATCTTAGGCGAAACAAAAGCACAAAAACATATGCATCAAATGCTCACACTAAATGTTAACAATG